GGCAACTCAAAGTATGCAGTTCAAATCTCCTCCCATGTGATTAACTGTCTCTGAAAATCAGCCAGAAGTTCAGCCACGGGCTGCTTCTGACTCGATAGCACACAAAAACAATTTTCCCTATACACAAAAATTACACAGAAATGTGTCTACGGAGGTATAAAATGAACTCTGATAAGATCTTTTTTAATGAGTATAAGCCCAAATCCTAAATGAAAACAAACCGCTATTCATCATTTAATTGGCAGAATGTTTTTCCTTCTTTGGGGAGGGGCATCTAAAATAACGATGCATCTTATGACAAATGGCATCAGTTTTAGTCAAATCAAAACTATAGAGAGGAGAAAGAAGGAATTAATGTAAAGTTTTTTTACATTAAAAATAGAACTATATAGCAAGACATCAGCTTTGCAGAATGGATATTTAGTTTAAGAGAGAAAGCGGGGGACGGTTGCCGTGAAGTTGTTTACCACTCACGGTGACCCCAGCTGTTAGGGAGTAGAACTAAATGCCAAGACTTCATAGGGCTTTTAGGGCTGGAACCTTCTGGAAGCAGATGCCTTTTCGAGGCTCCTTTCATTATTTCAAACTTTTGGTTTGGGTCACCCAGGGGCTCTGCTGTTGTTATTGTTGTGTACTATCACATCATAACTGACCACCTGTGACCCTCTGGTGGGTTTTCAAAGGCAGTGAACTGCACAGGAGGAGACTGCCCATTTTTCTCCCACGGAGCAGCTGGTGGATTTGAATCATACACCTTCAGCATTGCAGCTCAATTTCTTGCCACAAGGCCACCAGAGCTTCCTAGCTCTGTTAGAGAGAATTTTTGTTTTTATTTTTTTATTTTAATAATTTTAATGAACATTTACAGAGATTTTGGATTTCCATTCATTCATTGTTGCACTTTTCTCCCTGCCCAGCCAACACCCCATGCAACCCCGTTCGCTCCTCTCTTTGAAAAGTAAAATTCTTTCTCTGGTACACAATCCCCTCGCAACCTTCCACCATCCCAAGTACACTCCACTATGCAACCTTAATTGTGGACTCTTGTGAGAACCATAATACTCTATCATATATCGCTTTTAAATTATTCTCTCCCTCATCTGTTTCAATGCAATATGCACAATTTATCCAGTTTTTCTCAGTCTTATCCCCACCCTGATATCAGTCCCATTTTACAGCAGTGGCACCATGCAGTATTTGTCCTTTTGCAACTGAGATACTTCACTCAGCATAATGTCCTCCAGGGTCACCCATTTTGAATAATATTGCATGAGTTCCTTGTTTTTCAATGCAGCGTAGTATTCCATTGTGTGAATATACCACAGCTTCTCTAGCCATTCCTTTGTTGATGGGCACCTGGGTTGTTTCCAACTCCTTGCTATTGTGAACAAAGCTGCGATAAACATGGGTGTGCATATATCTGCTTGGATGTCAGTTATGGTCTCTTTGGGGTATATTCCCAATAGTGCAATTGCTGGGTCAAATGGTATCTCTATTTGCAACTTTTTGAGAAAGCGCCATACCGCCTTCCACAGTGGTTGCACCATTTTACACTCCCACCAACAATGAATAAGGGTTCCAGTTTCTCCACAACCTCGCCAGCATTTGTTGCTTGCTGTTATGTTAAATTTTGCTATTTTGACTGGGGTGAGATATCTCATAGTTGTTTTGATTTACATCTCTCTTAGAGCTAGGGATTTTGAACATTTCTTCATGTGCTTGTTGGCCATCTGTCTTCTTTGGTTAAGTGTCTGTTCATATCCTGTACCTATTTTTCAACTGGATTATTTACCTTTATCTTGTTGTGGTGCTCAAGTATTTTATAAATTCTAGATTTAAGTCCCTTATCTGACATGTCATTCCCAACTACTTTTTCCCAGTCTGTGGCTTCCCTTTTTACTCTGTTGGAGAAATTTTTGGATGTGCATAGGGATTTGATTCTTAGAAGGTCCCATTCATCTATTTTATCTTCTCCTTGTTGTAGATGTTAGAGAGAATTTTATCTTCTTAATGTTTTTTCTTTTGTTCTTAGGCATCCCGCTTCCTCCTGTTGCACATCAACAATAAAGTCCAGAGGAGTCATGACCTCTCCTATTCCCCAGGAAGCTCCAGTTCCAGGAGACTCTCAGCCCTGTCCTAGATGAAGGATACAGCAGAGCCAGGTGGAGGAGGTCTGCCTGGCTCAGGCCCTGGGAAAGGTGGGAAGATGAAAGCAATGAAGGAGGGAGGAGGAGAACAAGTCAGGCAGAAATGTGATCAGAGTTAGATAAATCATTATCAACCATGTCGGGTGGAGTGAGATTTGCTCTCTTCTTCTATGCAGCTGCTGAGGAGGCTGCCTCGAAGCCACCACCAGTCACCTCATTACAGCCATGTGGGAGGTGGAGGGGGTGCTGCAGCTCCTGTCTCCAGAGCTCCCAGAGCGCCCCCCTGTGGTGGGCAAGATCCCGAAGGAGCTGAGCTTGGATAGCGTGGATGGATGGAGGTGGGCGCACCATTGTTCAACATCACCTTGGATTCCACCTGAGTAAATCCACCGCCAATGACCCGGTGTCTCCACCCCACCCCTGCCCGTGTGACCTCAGAAGCCACACTTCTTCCCTTTATACTTCCTAGTGGCCGTTTTGAACAGCAGCTGGGAGACTGATCAGTTTTCTTAAAGAGACTGAATCTTGCATGTAAGAATTACTTGCATGTAATTTTGACAATACAGATCTCTGGTTGGCGTCCTTGTAACTTCCATTAAACTATTTGTAGGGACCACGCAAAGAAAATATATGGAATCCCAATGAGGGGATTGGCCAGTTTTGCCATCCCATTAGGTTTTAAGCGAGCTTTTCTAGAGGCCGGTGGCTTAGTGGTAAAGAGTTGCTCTGCTAACCCAGTGGTGGTGGTGTTGTTGTTATGTGCCGTCGAGTCGTTTGTGACTCATAGCGACCCTATGTACAACAGCCCTAAACTCCGCTCTGTCCTGTGCCAATCGCACTGTCTCCGACACTCCCATCCCAATTATCCCAGTCACTGAATCAATCCACCTCATAGAGGGCCTTCCTCTCCTGCGCTGTCCCTCCACCCTCCCAAGCATGATGTCCCTCTCTAAGGACCAGTCTCTCCTCACAAAATGTCCAAAGTATGTTAGAGGGAGCCTCAGAATCCTTGCCTCCAAGGAGCCACCCGGTTTAACCCTTTCCAGGACGGTTCAAATTCACCAGCCACTCCATGGGACTCAATGGCACCCAACAACAATGGAGGCAAAATGGGGAACCTACGACCACACCTACGACCACCCAAGAGGCTCCTTGGAGGACAGGCTTGCTTAGTGATCTACCTGTGAATAAATAATCTGTCACTGAAAACCCTATGGAGCAGAGTTCTACCCTAACACACACGGGCGTGGTGATTTGGATGCAATGAGATGGCCACCAGAGCCCTTATCAGAGGAGGAAAACCTTGGCGAGGGGAAGCAACTTTCTCAGTCACACTGCTCCTAACTGGAGAGTCTGGATTCAAATCCAGAGCTGTGTGCATCAAGCTCATGTTTCTTCCGCTGGCCTCTGCTTCCTGGGCTTCTAGAAGAGTCTTGGACACCAGAGTCAGAGGGAACCCTCGCTCTGAAGCAGGTTTATAGCCCCAGTTGCCAGGGGACTTGTTCAAATCCTCACCTGCTGGTATTTCCAGGCTGGAACTAGATCTGCTGCTATCAACATTTGAATAATCAACATTGGGCTTCTAGTGTTCATTCGGAAGTCTGGTGGTTTAGCAGTAATGGGCTGCGCTGCCAACTCAAAGTCACATGGTTCAAAAACACCAGTTGCTCTGTAGGAGAAAGATGGGGAATCTCTTCCTGTGAGACTGACTACTTCTGAAAGCCCATGGTTTGTACCACTCAAGGGACTCCCTGGCATATCAGCCGGACTCAGTAATTGTTCATTCACTACCATCCTCCCTCCTTACCCCAAGTCGAGCAGGATCCATCTACGTGCCATTAAGTCCTCATTCTTAGGACACGCACATTCCGGCTCCAGAGTCCTTCACAGATCTGAGTTTGGGCACATGAGCCAGCAGTTCTTGACCAAAGAGAAGCCTTTCAAGGACGGATGCTCATCTGAGAAACCATTTATGCCAAATAATAACTGATTCAATGTGGTGGAAGAAATCTTTTCTTAAAATTTATTCATTCATAAAAAGTTTTCAAGGTATAAAACAAAAGGTATTACTAAAAATGCAGCCAGGCGAGGTGAGCATGATATGAGGATCAGGCACCAGCAGACAACTGGCCTTTTTGAGAGCACCACCCACCAGCAGCTGCAGGGAAGGGCAGAAGACGGGAAACCATGGAGGCATGGCATCAGTGGAGGAAGAAAGAGCTGGCAACACTGGCGGGGAGGACAGAGGACGATAGAGGGGAGCAGAGGTTGTGTGACACAGTGTGTAGAGCTGAGAGGAAGTGGGAGGAGACATAGCTAAATAAACCTCACCATCACTTGCCAAAGCAGTCTATATACCTTCATCTCCAGCAAACCCTTAGCAAGTTTCAGAGTATGCTTAATCGTATTTGTAAAAACATGAGGTCAAGGCACAGCTTTGGGATGGTAGAAAATGGGCTACATTTTCTAACCCAGAACACCCTCATGAATGGACACAGACAGGAAGGGACCCTTGGCCCCTGTATTCAGATGAGGGCTGTCCCCCAACTCTGCACCAAGACTAAGGCAGATCATCTCAGACTGCCCTGGAGGATTGACATCCCCCCAACCCCACCCGGCATTTAAAAACAAGGTGGCTGAGGGAAAGGGCCATTGTGAAAATAAGGGCTAGACTCACATCCGGGGAGGGCCCCGCCACCAAAGTCTTGGTTCTGGATTTGATTTTGGCAGAGCTTGTCCCAAGGCTGCTCCCAGATCGCGGCAGGGAGAGTCAGGGAAGTCTCAAGGTCCAGAGTCCTCAGTGATGCCTACGAGGTGCTGGGGGTCTTCGAGCTTCTCCAGCTCCCACAAACTTCAGTCATCCTGGAGAAATCAAGGGGTCAGGAGACATGAACAGAGAGTATTCAGTAAAACACCCACCTACGTGGGCAAACAAGGTCCGCTCACGCATTACCAGTGTGACTCTCAGTTAAAAGGGAATCCAGATTCTGCTCAGCTGCCTCTGCCTTCTCTGGCAAAAAATCATCTTCGTCACCTAGGTAAACAGCCCATTTTTCTGTTAAAAAAATCTTTTAAATGTTCCATTTGGAGCCGCTGAGAACTGATTCAAATCTCTTGAGTGAAACATACTTCAAGAAACAAATGCCACAGTGAATAGGCTGTTGTTGTTACGGGTCGTCGGCTATGACTCACAATGACCCTATGAAAACCAGATCTGAACCCTGCCCTACCCTGTGCCATCCCCATCATCTCTGACACACTCGAGCCCACTGCTGCAGTCACTGTGTCAGTCCATCTGGTTGAGGGTCTTCCTCTCCTTCACTGACTGTCTTTCCAGGAATGATACCCCTTTCTAAGGAATAGCATCTCCTAGCAACCTGTCCAAAGTATGATGAAGCTTCGCCATCTAGGCCTCCAAGTAACCTGATGATAAATTAGGGAGCTGACCCAGAGGAAACTAGTCAAGATCAAGACAGACACTTCCCAGCCACTTTGGACAAGAAACCCGGAGCAAAGGACAAGACAAGTACTCATTCCACTCTTCTACTGATCAATATGAGTAAGGTAATCACTTAAAGTAGACATTTCTGTTTGGGAGGTTTTTTAATGGTGATTTGAGTGAAAGTTTATAGAGCAAACTGGTATTCTATTCAATGACTCAGGATGTTGTTGCTGTGTACCGCAGAGCCAGGAGGAGATTGTGCATCTTTCTTCCATGAAGCAGCTGCTGGCCTTGAACTGTGTGTCTTCAGGATTGCAGCGCAGCTTCTTGCCACTAGGCCTCCAGAGCTCCCCAATGACTCACACACATTTTGTTTTATGATATGAATTACATTGCTGGCATTGTACATCACTCTTCCCACTTCCTTCCTGTGATTCTCATTTCTGTGAATCCTTCTAGCCTAAGCCTTCCTTCCTTCCGAACATTACCCTTGGGCAAAGTTCTGCCCATCTGATTCTCTACTGAAGTGCAAATGTTTGGAGACACTTAGCTCTCCAAATGTCCACCTCTAATGGGGGCTGGTGTGTTGGAATCAGTGAGACTGGCTCAGGAGAGAGGAGGCTTCAGAGCTGACGTACACAGGGTTGCTATAGGTCACAGGTGACTCGACGGCACATAACAACAACAGCTCTCCTCTGTACCTCTTTGTCCCCCTCTCCCAATTTTAAGAGTCTTTGTTGTACAAAGGTAGACATACATGGGTCAGATCCACCATGATTAGAGCTTTATTGCCTCATGTTTCTGAAAAGGAAGGCTTCACTTTTAAAAGGTAACAGTAAAAGTTCACCCAGTTAAAAAGTAACAGTGAAATACCAGTGACCTAGAAGGAAGAGGAACAGCAGAAAATACCAGAAAAGCAGAAGCAAAACTGTAGCAATTTAATATGAGCAGTAAAATGTATGTACATATATATTTATATTTTAAAAATAACTTTTTTTTGAAAGTCCTAGGTTGTTATGAGGCAAATTTTATCCCCTGAATCTGAATGTGACCCATTTTCCTTTTGTTCAAAATGTCAGTGAGACCACACCTGTGGAGGGTGGATCCTAAACTTAATTATTTCTGAGTTACAAAAGGACCAGAAGATACACAGAGACAAAGATATCAAAGAATGTCGTTGGGCCCTGGAAACTAATAAAGTTCCTCACAGGAGGAATCGACAGCTGTTGCTTTGTGCCATTGAGTCAGAACTCATAACTAGTTCATAATTTAGTTCAGAGGAACTAAATTACAGGGGAGGAGATAGCCCATCCTTCTTCCTCCAAGCAGCTGAGGGATTCAAACCATGAGCCTTTAGGATTGCAGTGCAACTTCCGACCACTAGCGGCCACCAGAGCTCCCCTCCATGAGTTGTTATGTGCTGTCGAATCATTTGTGACTCATAGCGACCCTATGTACAACAGCCCTAAACCCTGCTCTATCCTGTGCCAATCGCATTGCCTCTGACACACCCATCTCAATTACCCCAGTCACTGAATCAATCCATCTCATAGAGGGTCTTCCCCTCTTGCGCCGTCCCTCCACCCTCCCAAGCATGATGTCCCTCTCCAAGGACCTGTCCCTCCTTGCAACATGCCCAAAGTATGTCAGACGAAGCCCCAGAATCCTTGCCTCCAAGGAATAGCTTGGTTTAACCCTCTCCAGGATGAATCTGTTTGTTTTCTTGGCAGTCCATGGTACATTCAATACTCTTCTCCAGCACCACAGCTCAAAGGCATCAATTCTCCTTCTATCCTCCCTAGTCATTGTCCAACTCTCTGATGCATAACAAGCGATTGCAAAGACCATGGCCTGTATCAGATGCACCTTAGTCTCCAGAGAGGCACCATTGCTCTTGAGTACTTTAGAGAGGTCACTAACAGCAGACTTTCCCATCGCAATACGTCTTTTGATTTCCTGACTGCTGGTGCCAAGAGTGTTGACCGTGGAGCCAAACAAACTGAAGCTGTGAACAATCTCAATCTCTTCGCCATCCATCCTGATGCTACCAATTGGTCCAGTGGTGAGAACCTTTGTCTTCTTGACATTGAGCCTCAGTCCATATTGAAGGCTGCAGTCCTTGACCCTCTGCAGCAGTGCATGAGGTCCTCCTCGGTTTCAGCAGGCAAGGCTGTGTCATCTGCATATCGCAGACTGTTAATAGATCTTCCACCAATCCTGATGCCACACTTCTCCTCATAGAGCCCAGCCTCCCGGACAATCTGCTCTGCATACAGGTTGAAAAGATATGGAGACAAGACACATTCCTGGTGTACACCCTTCCCAATTTTGAACCATGCAGTGTTATGTTACCCTGCTCTGTTCTGACGACTGCCTCTTGGTCCAAGTATAGGTTTCGCAACTGTGACAACATAAACTTCAGATCTTTCAAGTATCCACTTATGCTATTTCTGTAACAGCAGGACTGGTGGTGGCCCTGTGTGACTTGCAGGAGTTTTCCTGAAGGGCTAACATATTCTCAGTACTGGTGACCTAGTGATAAGAAGCTGCGCTGTAATCCTGAAGGCACACTGTTGCAATCCACCAGCTGCTCCATAGAAGGATGGGCAATCCCCTCCCGTGTGATTAACTGCCTCTGAAAACTTGCTAGAGGGTCAGATATGGGTTGGTTCTGTCTGACTCAAGGGTACAAAACAACAACATATTCTCAAGAATCCCCCCAAAAGGCCACCACTAAAGGTGTCTCTTGCATTCCTTTCCTCATCCTACTCTCAGCTACAAGAGACAGAAAACCCAGCCAAACCCAGGCCTGCTCCAGCACCAGGCCCAAAGCTCTCTGCCTGACTTACCCACTCCTCGTCCTCAGCTCCGTCCCCCTGCTCCCGGACTTCTGCTGTGGCTCCTCCTGACGACTTCTGGGCCATGATGTTGTCCATCCATGAGGCGCCTGTCTTTCTATCACCAGCGAAATTACACTTGGTCACTGTTCCAGCCTCAAGTTTGGCTAATGAATCTGAAAGAACGGAAGAAGTTGAAAGGCTTCCCTTCCTAAGGTGGAAAGATGGCAAGTCTGATTCCAGTCTGGTGGGACTGCCCTCCCAAAAGACTGTGTTAAGTTGCTGTTTCCTGTAGGCCACGGTGTGGTAAGTTAGCCTAGGTGGGTTCACCTGAGGTTCCAGGTTATAGGGTCACTCCCAGGCACCACAGGATTTGGCAGCACCCTAGGCTCCAATGTCAGGCTAAGGATGCCAGGGCACCCATGCAGGGATTTAGGACTAACTCTCAAGGAATCATGTCCTCAATGAGCCCAGACCATCCAGTTCCCATGACCTCTGAGCAGGAGAGGAGGCGGGGAGCCTCAGAAACAGGAAAGGGCAACCTCGCATGTCACAGAGCAAAATATGCCAGAAGGGGCTGCACTCCTCACCCAGAAAGGGGCCATCACCCCGGGTTTTCAGTCGGATCCCGCACCCCAGTTCGAGCTCCATGGCCTCCATCTCTGCCTCTGGCATCCAGAATGCCACGGCCTGGTCTGGAGTCAGGTTCTCTGTCAGTGCAAGCAGCTCCGGCTTATTGACCAGCCCCTTCAGCTCCTCAACAGTGAGCCTATCGGTGTCCCCTTTGGCTTCCACTTCTGCAGGACACAGCACAAGAGGGTTACTACTGATTTAATAGCAAGAACTTACAAAGAACTCTTTAACATGCTAACGAGCAAGGATGTCAGTTTTAAGACTAGGGTACACCTGAGCCAAGCCATGGTCTCGTCAATTGCTCCACATGCATCTGAAAGTTAGAAAATGAATAAAGATGACAGAAAAAAGAATTGATGCCTTTGAGTTGTGATGCTATAAAACAATACTGAATATCCTTTAGACTGTCAAAAGAACAAATAAATCTATGGAGCAAGTGCAACCAGGGTGCTTCTTAGAGGCAAGGATGGTGAAACTCTGTCTCATGTATTTTAGGCATAGTATCGGCAGTGGCTAGTCCTCAGAAAAAAAAAATCAAGCTGAAAAAGACAGATGGTCAGCAAAAGAGAAGACCCTCACCTGGCTGGACTGTTGCAGTAACTGCAATAGGGTGCTTAAGCACAGCAGAGATGTTGAAGATGGTGCAGTATAGGGTAAGGTTCCGATCTGTTGTTCACTGGGTCGTTATGAATTGTAACCCACTCAATGACACCTAACAACACTCATTATGAAGTCTTTTTTTTAGACATATTTACTTTCTGTTACTGTTGAGAAGATAAACAGCAGAACACACCCCATTTCTACCTGTGCAATTCCATGACACTGATTGAATTCTTCAAGCTGTGAAACCATTCTCACTCCCCCTTTTAGACTCTTCCTCTCCGTTAACATAAACTCCCTGCCCTCTGAGTTTCCTAATCTTCCGAGTTGCTGTTGTTAATTTGATCTTGTATACAGAGATTTTAAAAGAGCGTAATACAATGTACAAGGCAAATATTGTGCACTAGTTAAATGAACCTTTGGTTTTAGGATTTCAAGAGTATCTTTGAGTTAAGGTTTTAAAACTATTTCAGGAGTTAATCTAGCCTTCCTGACTCCAAAAAGTCTGGAGTCCAAGAAAATGTCAAATTCTGTTCTGCATTTTCCCCTCTTCATGTGAGGATTTTTCTATAGACTCTTTGATTAGTCTTCAGTAGCCAAGCACTATCTAGTTCTCTAGGTCCATGTCTGCGAAGGAGACGGCTGTCACAGAAGCCATCAGCCACACATTCCGTATCTTCCTCCTATTCTTGGTCTCCTGTTTCAACAGAAAGCCTTTTGTGAACAGAAGAGGGCTGTGTGTTCTTCATGTGTTGCCTCATTTAACCCTCAGTCATTGTAAGGTAAGCCTTTGAAAATCCATTCTTGGAGCATTCAACAAACTTCACAGCAGGAGTTATGGCCTGAGACTGTGATGCTGGCAGAGGTGAAGGCAGGGTTCTGATATGTTGTTCACAGGGTCGCTGTGAGTTGTACTCAACTTGACGGCACCTAACAACAGTGTGAATCTGATTTCCATTGTTTACAAGCTGTGTAACCTTGGACAAATTCCTTAAGTTCTCTATGCCTGAAAATAAAGATAAAATGGTTCTATCTGATAGGACTAATAGGAGGTGAAAATGAAATGATATATAAAAAGCAAGCACAGCATCCGACCAGTAAATCTCAGGGAGTGCTAATACTTGTTCATTATTCCCATTTTAGAGCTGCAAAACCAACGCCTACAGTTAAGACTTTTAAGATCACACAAGTCAGTGGAGGAGGCAGGATTCAAAACCACCACACGCTGGGGCTCCCTAGCCCCTCTGCGGTCCCCTGACCCTGGCTCTGACTGAGCTCATTAATTCAGGATTTAACACCCTTCATTTTATCACCATGCAAACCTTGGATAGGATACGGTGCCTCCTTCTCCAGGGAGCCACCCTGAGGCCCTACACTTCACCAAAGTGTGCTAGCCACATTTCAGCCCAGCAACCCAAAGTCAATCAACAGGCTATATTCTTTACATCAACACAAGATGAGCAGGTGCTGCCAGAGGATATCCTGGTCAGCCCACAGAGGCTAGTTTATGTTCCATTCATAGTCTATAGCCTCAGCCAGGACAAGGCCACCTCCCACTGCTCCTTTCTCTTTGATTCTCCACCTTGTCCATACCACGCCACCTTACAAGCCACCTGACCTCTTACTTTGCAAGAGAACTCTTCCCTAGCACCTCCTACCTGTCAACTCTGCCTGTAACATCATCCAATCTCTTCTCTCCTGTCTCTGAGGAGGAGGTGGTGGTATCCTCCTCCTGCCTCAAGCTCCTTTCTCTGTCTGGATTTCTGATCCTACCCTCCCTCTTCTCCTTGGAACTTGTCTTTCCTTCTTCCTGCCCCCATCTTTCAACACTTCCCAACATTCTGTTCTTCATCCACTACTCCACTTTCCTCAACCCTTCCCACATCATAGTCACCAGCAAGTTTGTAATTGCTAAAACCACTTGGAGGCCACATGGTCTCAGCTTTTTCCAGGTGCTGAGCATCACCTGACCCCTCTGTTGCCTCTTCACTCCTGTTCCCCTTTACTGGGTGTCAGAGGTGTCACACTCTCCCCACTTCCCTAGGACTCTCTACTCTTCCTCCTCCCACCCTGAAAGGGCCCCTTCCTCTGTCCTGTTCTTCCTGTTGCTGCCTCCCAAGACAACCTCCTAAGCCCACTTCTTTTTTTCTCCTGGCTTCAATATTACTCATGGGCTGGTTACTCCCAAACACCTGTGAGCAGCCCAGATCACTCCAAGTGTTAGAACCGTACCTCCCTCTCACCAGTGGTCATCTACCCCTACCTGCAAGTGTCAGTGGACCTCCAACTTAGTGTGTTCTAAACAGAACCCTTCACCCCAGACCTGCTCCTCTTTTTCCTCCATCCCCCAAAGCCTCCTTCCACACCCAAGCTCTGGTGTCATCCCCAACTCCTCCCATATTCTTTCCTCAGAGCCCGTAAAACACTGAGCCCTGTGTCCCTCTTCCATTTTTAGCCGATCCAGTCTTTCCAGCCCCACTGGAAAGTCAGGCCCCTTCATCTCCTCCTAAAGTTCCTTGGTGGTGCAAAGCTGTCAACCAAAAGGTTGGCAGTTTGAAATCACCTAATGGCTCTGGTGGCCTCATGGTGAGAAGCTGTGCTGTGATCTGAAACGCACGCAGTTTGAATGTGCGAAGTGCTCTGCAGAGGGGATGATGAACATTCTCCTCTAGTGCGATTCACTCCCTTTGCAAATCCATTGGAGGGTCAGCCATGAGTTGATTCTGATTCAAAGGCCCACAACTACAACAACATCAAAGGCACTTTGGAAGAAAGGCTTTACTTGCTTCCAAAACATTAGCCATTGAAAAACCTGTGGGGTACAGTCCTACCCTGGCACACATGGACCAATTGGCACATTTTTTTTTATACTCCCTGACTTAACAGCTTCATAACAAGACTCCTCATCTCCAGTCTACTCATTTCCCCCAGGGGATTTTTTTTTTAGATCAATCTAATCTGTTAACTCCTGACTTAAAATTGTTCACTAATAAGCTCTCCTGTATTCTCAGCTGAAGTTCTGACTCTCGGTCCCTTTCCGGCCCTGTGCATCCCAGCTCTGCTCACTTGCATGGCTTCTCTTCACCTGGACCATGGACCCTTTCCATCCCCAGAATGCCTTGGGCACGCTGTCCTCTCTGAAACACCTTCCCTAGCCATAGTACCCCATTTGATTCCTTTCAGGATTCAGTGGTGTTCCCCCTCCAGTCAGCCTCCCTGGCCAGATCTGTCAGATCCAGAGCTGCACATAGTCACAATGACCACAATCACAGCTCCTCCATTTCCTCAACCAGACTGAGAGCATCCTGAATTCAAGTAATGGGTTTGTTCGCCCTCTAACCACAGGCTGAGGTACATGGCCCGGTTCATGGCAGATACTCATTAAGTGTTCAGAAAATGAAGAGCAAGTGAAAACAAGAATAAAATGATGGATGGACAGATGGATTCTCATTTCAACTTAAAAATTCCTTATACAGGACAGACAGCAGAGAGCACCCTCTACATGCAAAGTCAGGAAGAAGAATCAGTAGGGAGGGCCCAGGGGCCAGAGAGATGGAGGTTTCTGGGAGCCTGGCCTGGACTCTGCACCATTTGTCTTAGACGGATTCTACAGAGGAGTAAAAACAGTGAAGTGTATATATAGAAACAGAGAGAGGGAAGTTTATCTCCAGGGCCTGGCTCACGAGGCTGGCAAGTCCCAAATCCATAGGTCAGGCACCAGACAGGGGCCTTCTCCTGACTCACAGGTGCTAACGAACCCCAATCATCCGGTCAGATTGCAGGCTGCTGGCTCGTGGGACCACAGGAGCTCTTGCTGTTGTTAGGTGCTGTCAAGTAGGTTGCAGGCCACAGGCATCATGTACATGGAAACACTGCCTGGTCCTGCCAGCCTCACAGCTGCTGCTACACTTGAGTTCACTGTTGCAGCCAAGCACGGCCTGCTTCCCGAGGGACTAGTCCCTCCTGATAACATGACATGAGTCAATCCTGGAGTCAAGAGACAAGGGAGGCCAGGCCATACTGGTTGGGAGGGCCCAGAAGAAGGAAGGACAGAGAATACGTACTGTATGATGACATGAGGAAGCCCGTGTTCACCTTCTTGGTATTACTGAAGTTGGGTTCAATTTCATTTCCTTTAGGGTCGAATGTGCGGTGATGGATGCGACTGGGCTGGACATACAACACGTAGTAGCGTTCCTGTTGTCGGAGAGAGAGCGAGACTGAAGGGCTGCCTCCCCGGCTCCCACCGTAATACACTACTGCTTTGGGGTTTGTAGCCCTCCTAGATTTTACCTAGACCCCAGAATCTCACCTCAGTCCCTGAAGATATTCAAACTGGGTAGATACCCCTCATTCAAATATCCACTCACTCATTTATTCGTTTGTGTGTTTGACAGAGCACCTGATGCATGAATCATGCTGGAAGTCCATAGTAGGCCAACCCAAAGGCCTCCTCCACACAGCCAGAAGCTACATACACAGAACTACAACCCAAGTGCATAGCACGAAGGACCCCAGATAGCATAAAGCAGAGGAGGATGCAGCCAGGGCAGCATGGAAAAGGAGCTCAAAAGGAGCCTGGACTAGGACAGCCACGCTGCCTCTTCCAACATACGTGTCACCTGGAGCATAGCTCGCCTAGGCCCTCCTAAATTCTCTAATACAGAGGCAACACGAACCTGTAAGGATTCCAAGAGACCATGCGGGAGCGAGGACGGTATCAAGCCAGAAACAGTGATTTTATAAGGCAAGTGAACTGCCAAGAGCTCTGCCACTTTCCAAGGCTCTGAACGACCGCCTCCAGCAGCACATTCACAGTAATTCAATCCCAAAAGTTAAAGGTGCACACAATTTCCTAGGAACACAGCTCATCCTCAGGAAGAGGAAGGTCACTGCTGACCCTGCATCCACACAGCTGCAACCTGCTTGGACTTCATCTGCCCCCTTGGGGCAGTGGAAACCACCAGGCCAGAGGTCAGGGGTCTGGACCCTTGCCTCACAGAATGAAATGCCATCTATCCTGACCTTCCTGTCTCCACAGCATGGCTCCCTACCCTGTGAAATCTGTCCCGTGCGGGCCTCCTCTGATCACACACATGCTTAGTCCTTACCACCCACTGCACCCCTTCAGGCTCTCATGCTCCCAGTCCAGCCCAAATACACCATTATGTGAGGTTCAAGGCTGGTTGGTCTACGACCCAGGCTCTTCTGTCAAGAGTCTACACACTCCCACCTGTCTACCCATTGCACTGCATGGATATAACAAATCCCTTCCACTCAGCTGCTCCATTTGCTGCTCTTCTGACCCATCTCTCACAGTCCTGTGAGCCCCTCCAGGAAAGAGCTCAATCCCAGGTCCTTGACACTGGCAGAGGCTAGGACAGGGACAGTGAAGCCCGTGCCCTGAGGTGTAACCCAAGAAGCATCCTCACCTTCCTGCCATGGGCATCCAAGATGCTGTGCCGAGAAACATCCACCAGTTCTCCTTCCAGCAGGACACCGTTCCCCCTGGGATGAGAGGAAGAGGGAGGAAGGTCAGTCTGTCAGACTTCAGGGACAGCCTGAACGGGATGGCCCAGGTCTGTCTGCGTGGGGACAGAAGTCCACACGTCTCCTGCACACCCAGCCTGTTACCGACTGGCCCTTTCTCTACACTTCTCACACTGTGGTGTCCATTCTCCAAGGACAGTGATGAGGCACTACCAGAGGCAGAAGGAATGTCAGGCTACTCTAAGGTTGAGCTGCGGCCCGCCTGCTTGGCCACTGGGGTTACTGAAGCAGAGAGTCAAGCTGCTTAGCAACAAAGTGAGGAAACGGGCCACCTCACTCTGCTCTTCTGATGATGATACAAAATCACATCTACCTAGTTGTTTTGTAAACTATAAAATGCTTACAACATATAATGGGGTTTGTATTTTTGCTTAACCAAACTGGGCTGAGGGGCCTAATTGGTTATGAATTATATTTCCTTTTCGCCTGTTTAGGGAACTCTGGTGGCCTAGTCCAAAGGGTGATATGCTATTAAACCAAAGGCCAGACATCTCAAGTGGTTCAAATCCACCACCCTCACCGCAGGAGAAAGATGGGCAATCTCTTCCCAAGCTTTTTACAGCCTCTGAAAACCCACTGGAGGGTCAGCTATAAATTAGTTCAGATCTCATGGTAGTTGAGTTTGAGTTTGTTTTCTGAATTTTATTTTACTTGTTTTAAAGCACTTTCATTTATTTCTGTTCTCATTTGCATGTACAGTCATTTAATGTTGTTATTAGGAGTCAAGTACAACCCATAGAAACACAGATCTGAACTCTGCCCTATCCTGTGACAATTCTTGTTACCTCTGACATCCTTGAGCCCACTGCTGCAGTGACCATGCCAGTCCATCTTGTCAGGGATCTTCCTTTCTTTCACTGTCCATCCACCTTTCTATGTATGATGTCCTTCTCCAAGGGACAGCCTTTCTTAAAAACATGCCTTGAGGTAAGAGGAAATGGCTATTCCTCCAGAGGTAGAGAAACCGAGACCTAGAGGTTCTGTGACTTGTACACGATTGAAGGTCCCGCTCACTGAGCGGAACTGGATCGTTGGCTTCCTGATTCAACTTTGGTAAAAGGAGAACCAAGGGGATCCCCTTTTTGAACTACAGAAACAGGGCGGGAGTGGGAAGAGCCAAAGATGAAGGAGAATCCTCCCCCATCAACCATCACACACAATTCTCTACCGTTTGTCACTTCAAGGAGCCCTCGAGCCACAGTAGTTACACACTTGGCTGCTAACTCATTTTTCCACCTCTCTCTCTTCTAACTCAACTTTCGACCCATTAGTTCACTATGGTCAAAGAAAGCTAAGGCAACCTGCTTCAGTAAAAATGTACACCCTCAGTTGTATATGCCCTAGTTCTCAAAGCAAAACTCATTATTACCACTGAATTGTAATCAACTCACGGCTGGCTCTCCAAAGGTTCTGTAAGCTGCACGGCTGGAGACCGCTCACCTTTCTGCGATGGAGCCCCTGATGGATTCCAGCCGCCTGGGAAGCACCTGGCATTGGGTCAGCGGCAGACTGGGCCACCACAGCTCCCTGCTCTGTCCTATTGGCAACTGTATTGGTTTGTTGTTGTGTGCTGTGAAGTTGAAACCAGCCCGGAAGTCCAGCAGGTTTTCAGAGGCTGTAAATTTAACAGAAGATTGCCCATCATTCTCTGGGGGAGCCCTGGGTAGATTTGAACCGCCTGTCTTTGAGTTGGCAGCACATCTCCTTACCACTAAAGCCACCTGAGCTCCCTAGTTTTGGATCAGCTGATTTATAATTCCTAGTGGAATGATTCACTTTGTCCTGACAACCTCAATGACGGAGAGGTCTTGACCCTCACATACTCGAGCTCTGGTGGCTTAGTGACAAGAAGCTGTGCTGCAATATAGAAGGAACGTGGTTCGAATCCAAAAGATGTTCCGCCGGAGAAGGCGTGGCAATCTCCTGTGCCAG